TCGTGGGGACGGGCACGGGAGCCCGGTTCCGAGGCGTACTGCGTGGGAGGCTTCCCCCCGTATCCCAGCTTGGGGGACGGGGGTCCGTAGGCCGGCTCCGCCCGGCGCCTGGGCTGGTTGTAGCCCACCACCGGCTTGGCCACCTTCACCTGGATGCTGAAGGGGGGCCCGGCTGAGGAGGACGCCGTGGCATATGAGGCGGGCATCGGCTGGGGGTACGGCTTGGGGGCACGGTGGTATCCGTAGGCCTCCCCCAAGCCGGCTGAGCCGTACTGGCAGGGCAGCACCGGGACAGCTGGGTAAGGGGACCCCGAGGCCGGTGGGCCTCCATAGGGCAGGGTCTTGGCATCGGGCTTAAGGGGCATGAAGCCGCCCGAGAGGGTGGGCTTGTAGGCAGCCGAGGACGGGCTGGGCTTAGGGGCGCCCGGTTGCAGAGCTGGATACGGCACAGATTCCGCGTTCTGCAAAAAAAAAAAGGGTAACACAGTCAGCGTCTGGGTAGAGAATTTGGCACACGCACACACACACACACACACACACACACACACACAGGCACCCCGTTTTATCCTCCAATCCCCCCCCCCCCGCCAGCTTCCTCACCGCCCGTTCGCCCCGACGCTGCTGGCTGCTCTCCATGTCGGCCAACATGCTGGTGAGCGAATCTATCTGGACATCGATGTTGGTGGGGTGAAGGCCCCGCGTCTGCTCCGGACACTCTCCCTGCTGGAGGGAAAAGGGAATCTATTTTTGGGGGGAGGGGGGTGTCTCCCCAATCGAGGAAGCCATCCGATCCGTGCCCAACTGATCTGGGCTTCTGTAATGGGGTGACTCCCCACCTTTGCCACCCTCTGCCCTCACCCCCACCCCAAGGACTGCGCCTGTTGAATCTCGGCCTGCCGGGCTTTCGCAGAAGGATGCCGGTACTTAATGGAAATGCAAAGAGCTAGCGGTCCCTCTCTGAAATCAATGTGGCGCCTCGTGCAATCCTGGGAGTCGTAGTTCTGGTTGGTCGAACTACGACTCCCAGCGTTCCACTAGGTGCCGGCAAGGCTGCTGGGAGCTGCAGGTGGGGGAGAAACAGCCATTCAGCCTCCGTTGCCCGTACCTCCACTGGCCTTCCTCCCCCAGCCAGGCGGGCTCTCCTTACCTGCAGGGTGTAGCTGGGAGGTGTAGCGCTATCCCAGGATCCCCGGGACCCTCTCTCGCTTACGGAGGAGTAGGGGGAGTCTGCAGAAGAGTCCTGGGGAAGCGAGGCGGGACCTGGAGCAGAGGAAGAAGCAGGACAGAGATTCAAACTCAGGACCGGGCAGAGGAGAGGAAGCTGGCTCCTCTAGGGGTCGTCAACTATAACTCCCAGGCCTGCCTGCCTGCCCAGGAGCAAAGTCTGCTGGGAAATGTAGTCAGAGGACCTTTTCCCCTCTTAGAATACAGGAAGTCCTCAACTTACGACCGGTTGCATGACAGACATGATTCCCATAACTCAGGGATGTCCTTTAGGCCCAAGAGAGTCCATCCATCCGTCTGTCCAATTCCTGCCTTGGATGGCTGAAAAGTTTTGCCTCCTTTGACGGGCATTTCCCGCAGCTACAAGCTGGCAGTTCAATGGGGGGGGGGGGGGAAGATCCATTCTTGGCTATTTGGGGGGGGGGTTCTGTTGCTTCCAACCCAGCCTCTCTCCAATAAAAGAGAATCCGGGGCCTACCTCGCAGGGGTGGTGAGGAGCATTTGGGAATGCAAGTCAGTGGAGAGGGGGGCAAAAAGCAGCCAATGATCCCAACCTGGGCCCCCTGGAAGCCGGATGGACTTCAACTCCCAGAATTCCCCCGCTGGCGGCGTTGCCCACCCTCCTCAACGCGAAGAGGGGTGGGGCTTCAACTCCAGGAATTCTGGGAGTTGTAGTCCCTCCGTCTTCAAGGGGCCCAGGCTGTGCCTAGAGGGTCCCCTTGTTTGTGCAGAAGACCCTTCCCCAAATATGGGTTCCACGATTACCTGGCGGAGGGGGCTGGTCCCGGGAAAGGCCCCCCGCTGAGCCCATTGCCCCATTGGTCTCCGGAGTTCGGTGGGCGGGGTTGGGAGCTGCTGGGACGGAAGCAAAACTCTTCTGGACTCTGCAGACGGCCGGGGAGGATACGGTGACATCCGGCTGGCCCAGGACCGCCACTTGCTTCGGGGGCAGCCAGGTGGGGCCGGACATGCTGAAGGAAGCTGGGTGGGGGGGATGGGGAGAGGAGGCAGAGCAAAAATGTGGAGTCAAAATTGGAATTGAATAGAGATAGACAACTAGAAATAGAAATAGATAGATAGATAGAAATAGATGGATAGATATAGATAGATAGAAATAGATAGATAGAAATAGATAGATAGAAATAGATAGATAGAAATGGATGGATAGATAGATAGATATAGATAGAAATAGATGGATGTAGATGATATAGATATAGAAATAGATATAGAAATATATAGAAACAGATATAGATTGAAATAGATAGAAATAGATGGATAGAGATATAGATAGATAGATAGAAATAGATAGATAGAAATAGATGGATAGATAGATATAGATAGAAATAGATGGATATAGATGATATAGATATAGATATAGATATAAAAATATATAGAAACAGATATAGATTGAAACAGATAGAAATATATGGATAGAGATATAGATAGATAGAAATAGATAGATAGAAATAGATGGATAGATAGATAGATATAGATAGAAATAGATGGATATAGATGATATAGATATAGAAATATATAGAAACAGATATAGATTGAAATAGATAGAAATATATGGATAGAGATATAGATAGATAGAAATAGATAGATAGAAATAGATGGATAGATAGATATAGATAGAAATAGATGGATATAGATATAGATATAGAAATAGATAAAGAAATATATAGAAAGAGATATAGATTGAAATAGACAGAAATAGATATAGACAGATATAGATAGAAATAGATAAATAGATAGACAGACAGACAGACAGACAACTAGAAATAGATGGAAATAGATAGATAGATATAGATAGATTATAGAAATAAAGGTAGAAATAGATAAATAGAAATAGATAGATAGATAGATAGATAGATAGATAGATAGATAGATAGATAGATATAGAAATAGATAGATAAATAGATAGACAAAGAAATAGAGAGAGATGATAGACAGATGGACAGATAGATAGCTGGTGAGACAGATGAGAGAGAGATAGGCAGAAAAAGATACAGATATAAATATAGATGATAAATGGACAGACAGAAATAGAGATGATAGAGGGATGGATAGATGGATAGATACTTGGGGAGAGAGAGAAGCAAGAGAGGTACAGATATATAGAAAGAAAGAAAGAAAGAAAGAAAGAAAGAAAGAAAGAAAGAAAGAAAGAAAGAAAGAAAGAAAGAAAGAAAGAAAGAAAGAAAGAAAGAAAGGTATTAGAGTAAGCCATAAAATTGTAAACAAACCATATGCTCATGTTTTACCTCATGGCAAGCCATTTTCAAACCACGATTAGGACAGTACTAAAAAGTTGCAAGGATCCGGTAGCACTAACACACTAAGCTTTTACAGGAACGAAACAAACCATGGTTCCAACCAAGTTGACTGCCTTACAGAAAACCCTCTTTTTCTCCTTAATTCCTCCCATTGAAACATCACACACCACTGCCCTAGAAATTCAGGAAGCCACGAGGCCACGTGGGAATCCGTTACAGGGGAGTAAGCTGCAGACACGGTTAACCCCCTCATCCCGCCTGTTCGCGCACAGGCTTTGCACCCCTGGGGTAACCCCCTCCCCTTTCCTGCACCCCCTTTCCTTCAACCCCAAATCAAAATAGTCCACAAAACCGATTCACACGTTGCAGGCTCCGCTTTCCGGAACTGTGATTTGACAAAAGTACAATTCCCGGCGTTTAAGGAGCCAAAGAAGCCAGAAATCGTGGTTTAGTCCATACGAGCTTGGGGGGGGGGGAGGGTTCCCTCTACATTAGATGAACCACCTTGTAACTCAGTGGAGGAAGCGTTTGGTCCTGTTTGGGGCGTCAAATTTCCTGGCAAAGGAATTAATTTGGTAAATCCGAGTTTGGGGTGGACTACAACTCCCAGAATTCCCCAGCCAGCACAGCTGGCTGGGGAATTCTGGGAGTTGAAGTCCACCCGGCTTAAAGTTTCTTAAAGCAGTCAACCACGTTGCAATTAACCGCGGCCTGCGCGTGACGTCACTCGGCCTCCCCCCCCCCGCCCAACACTTCCCCGGCTCCTTCCCCAACCTGTCGCCCGCCCAGCGTGGCGGGCTGCCAGGCGGCGCCGCATGGGCTCTGGAGTGCGACATAGCTGGGTCAAGCTGCAGCCTTCCCCAGAGTGGGGAACTGGGGGGGTGGGAGGGGGAGGAGGTCGAGCACTCTGCACGTGCTCGGGGGTGGTCGGTGCTCCCCCGGTGCCAGGGGAGTGGGGGGGGGCTCAGGACAGGCTGGGGGTGGGGGGCTTAAGACGGAGGGGGGGGCTCAGCTACAGCAAGGCGGAGGACCCCCTAAGAGGAGCAGCCCCCCTCCCCAATTTAGCCTAAGACCCTCCCCTGAATGGGCCAGGCTGGAGCCCCCCCCCTCTCTGCCCCCTCCTCACCTGATCGCGGCGCGTGCCCCGCCCGCGCCGAGAAAACTTACTTTCTCCCAAACTTTCTCCCGCAACTTTCTCCGATCCGGACGCGGCAAAGAAACTTTTTTTTTCTTTTTTTTCTTTTCTTTTTGTTTTCTTTTCTTTTTTCTTTTTTGCATGGACCCCCCCCCGGTGACGTCACCGCATTCCAAGCGTCACGTGGAGCCTGGGAATTCCTGCCACTTCCGGTGGGAGGCGGGCGTGGATGGGCAGGGGGTGGGGGGGAGCTCGGCCTCTTGGGATCCGGGGCGGGAGGGGGGGGGGTGGCCGACGCCTCGTCCCACCTGCCGGTCTGCGCAGGTGGGACTCCAGGGCCCGTGCTCCACAGCCTGCGTGGTGGTGGTGGTGGGGGAGGATGCCAGGTTGGGGGAAGAAGCCGCTTCTCGGGGACCCCCCCTTCCCGCCTTGGATTGGGGGGGGCTTCTTTTATGGGCGGAGAAGGGAAGGTCCCATCGGACTGGAGCGCCAGTGGGACTCCAGTGCCCATGCTCCCCAGCCTGCATGGGCAGAGATGGTGGGGCTGCAATCTCCTGCAAGGGAGGCACCAGCTGGGACTCCAGTGCCCATCTCCCCAGCCTGCATGGGCAGGGGGGGGCTGCAATCTCCTGCAGGAAAGGCACCTGGTGGGACTCCAGTGCCAATGCTCCTCAGCCTGCATGGGCAGAGATGGAGGGCGCTACAATCTCCTGCAGGGAAGGCACCAGGTGGCACTCCAGTGCCCATGCTCCCCAGCCTGCATGGGCAGAGACGGAGGCACTACAATCTCCTGCAGGGGAGGCACCAGGTGGCACTCCAGTGCCCATGCTCCCCAGCCTGCATGGGCAGAGACGGGAGGGCTGCAATCTCCTGCAGGGGAGGCACCAGGTGGCACTCCCGTGCCCATGCTCCCCAGCCTCCATGGGCAGAGACGGGGGGGGGCTACAATCTCCTTCAGGGGAGGCACCAGGTGAGACTCCAGTGCCCATGCTCCCTTGCCTCCATGGGCATAGTGGGGAGGGTCTCATTGGATCCCAACCCCCAGCAGCCTCACCCTTTGCCTGGGCTGGCTAAGCCTCCTGGGAAATGTAGTCCCGCCCATCTGGATGGGGGTGAGAAGGGGGGGCCGAGGGAGGGGCTGGGAGAGCCCCCCCATTCCCTGAGGGGGCACCAGGCAGACTCGCCCGGCTGAGAGGGCAGGGTGTGCCAGCCGCCTGTTTTCATCACCCGACAAGCCCCTGCTTGCTGGGGTGTGTGTGTGTGTGCGTCTCTGAGTGTGTGTCTGTGTGTCATTTGTGTGTCTGGAATTTGGGCTTCTCCAAATCCCTGGGAGGGGGGGCCATTTTGCAAGCGGGAGGGGGGGCCGTTCTGTTGCTCAGGGAAACATGTTGGCGAGTTTTGCCCCATTTTACGACCTCGTGGCAGTCATTAAGTGACACAGTCGTCAAATGAATCTGGCTTTGCTCGTCCTTAGGTCGCAGAACGGGATCACGTGACCCCCCCCAGTACATGGCCACCGTCACAAGTACGAGTCAGTTGCCAAGCCTCTGAATTTCGAACCCGTGACCGGGGAGATGCAGGAAAAGTCACGAGGGTGCAAAACGGCCGTAAGTCACATCGTAACTTTGAACCTGTCGTAACTTGAGCGCTGCCTGTATATGGGGTCTCTCGCTCGAGCAGAGGGCTGGACTAGAAGACCTCCAAGGTCCCTTTCCAATTCTGTCATTCTAAGATTCGGGGCCTTTGTTTTGGAATCGGGGCGTGTGCAGAGTTCCAGAAGACCACTGGGAGATTGAAAGGGCCCTGGACGTCTGTGTATGCTCTGCTGTGCCTGTGGCGGGACGCGTGGAACGCTGCGCATGGCGCATTGCCAGCCTTATCGCTTAACTCGGCTGTTTTTAATCGCTCCTGGCAGCAGCTCGGCTTTTTGCGCAGACACTCGCCCGCCTAAGACGTGGCGCCAGCTCCTGTCCGGGAGATTGGCAGTGCAGTGCAGTGGTTAGAGCAGGGCTCTTCAAACTGCCCTTTGATGACTGGTGGACTTCAACTCCCAGAATTCCTCAGCCAGGCACGCCGGCTGAAGAATTCTGGGAGTTGAAGTCTGCAAGTCATCAAAGGGCCCTACTTCCCTCACGCTGGCTGAGGAATTCTGGGAGTTGAAGTCCACAAGTCATCAAAGGATCCCAGTTCCCTCATGCTGACTGAGGAATTCTGGGAGTTGAAGTCCACAAGTCATCAAAGGGTCCTAGTTCCCTCACGCTGGCTGAGGAATTCTGGGAGTTGAAGTCCACAAAGGGCCAAATTTGAAGAAAGCCCTGCTTGTGGACTGGGGGAATTCTGGGAATTGAAGTCCACTGGGGGAATTCTGGGAGTTGAAGTCCACAAGTCTTAAAAGTGGCCGAGGTTGGTTTCTTGTATAGGGGTTGGACTAGAAGACCTCCAAGGTCCCTTCCGATTCTGCCATTCTGTAATCGGCTGCCCGCTTGGGCCCACAACCGCACAACTGCCAACTCATCGCACTAGGGTTGTTTTCTCTGTCGTTGGAAGAAAAAAGAGACTCAAATCGTAGTTAAAATCACGGTGCCGTCTGCCTCCCAGCCCTGGGACGCCTTCAAAGCCACTCGCCTTCCTTAAAACCGCTAGCGGGCAGCCTTCCAACTGGTTAAGTTTCCTGCTGCCCTTTTTTTGCTGGGTGTGCAGCTTTTTGGAACCGCATAGCCCCTCATAAAAAGAATCCTGCAACCACTAACCACCAGTGTTGGTTAAAATTGCCAGGCAGAGCCTGGATTTGTCGTTTATTTTAAGAAAATAAGAATAAGTTTAAGGACAGTTTCAGCTTTTGCTCTTCTCTTTTCGAGTGTTTTCTTTCCTGGCACCGATGTTGAAAGCTGAATCGACACCTGGCTTGTCGATGCTTGTTTGTTCCTTCCCGGAAAAATCTAGCTTGTTCCGGGCAAAATTCCCAACGCCTGCAGGGTGAGGCTCTGCTCTTAGATGTTTGAGTCCTAACCGTGTGAAAAATCACACTGGGGTTGTGCGAGTTGACAGCAAACTCACAAGGTAACAGTGCTTCCCTGGGGAGGGTAAGCCAGGATCGCTTAACTGGGGTTTATGGAACAAGCCACCATTGGTTGGCTTCACACAATGCATTAAACGGTCGTTTGCAATTCATACAGGCTGGGTACACACATGAAGCCCCAAGCAATCCCTGGAGGTTTTTAAAAAGAGACTGGATAGTCACTTCTCTGAAATGGTACTATAGGGTCTCCTGCTTGAGCAGGGGGCTGGACTAGAGGACCTCCAAGGTCCCTTCCAGCTTCTATTCTATTCTATTCTATTCTATTCTAGAACTCACTGTTTGAGCAAAAATGAGAAATAAGCTGGTAAAAACTGACAAGAAATAGGGGCCCTTTTTAAGACTTAAATCCTAACTTTTTCAATTTATTTTTAATTCTTACTTTTCATTTTTAATTCTTAATTTTCTTAATGTTCTATGATTTGGAGTCCACGTTGATCAAATGGGGCACCAAGCTCAGAGAAGGCATGCAGGACGTCCCCACTTTGTGTGGGGTGCAGAAACCTAATCAGCTTTTAAAAAGGAACTCCTGTTCCTTTAAAACATGCTGGCTGGGGAATTCTGGGAGTTGAAGTCCATCTTCTTAAAGTATGGTTGCCTAGGGGATTCTGGGAGTTGAAGTCCACCCATGCCGGCTGGGGAATTCTGGGTGTTGGTCCATTCATCTTAAAGGATGCTGGCTGGGGAATTCTGGGTGTTGAAGTCCATTCATCTTAAAGGATGCTGGCTGGGGAATTCTGGGAGTTGAAGTCCACCCATCTTAAAGGATGCTGGCTGGGGAATTCTGGAGGTTGAAGTCCATCCATCTTAAAGGATGCTGGCTGGGGAATTCTGGAGGTTGAAGTCCATCCATCTTAAAGGATGCTGGCTGGGGAATTCTGGGAGTTGAAGTCTATCTTCTTAAACTATGGTTGCCTAGGGGATTCTGGGAGTTGTAGTCCATCTTGAAGTATCACTGGCTGGGGAATTCTGGGGGTTGAAGTCCATCCACCTTGAAGCATCGCTGGCTGGGGAATTCTGGGAGTTGAAGTCCACCCATTTGAAAGCACTCTCGCTGGAGAATTCTGGGAGTGAAAGTCCCCCCCCCCATCTTAAAACAGGCTGCCTGGGGAATCCTGGGAGTTGTAGTCCACCCACCTTGAAACTTGGCAACGTTGAGAAAAACCGAATAGTCGGCCACCAGAAAAGGTGGACAATGTCCAGAGACACCCCCCACCCCATTTTCCCAATGATTTCATTATTCCGGGCCCAAATTAGTAACGGATAACGGGGATCCGGTGGTGGCCGCCATCTTTCCTGCCCTCCTTAAACCTGGTCTTTGGGATCGGCCCAAAACAAACCAGGAAGCTGGCCAATAGGAAATGCTCTCATTCAAGCAGGTGCTTCCTCCCCTACACATCTCACTCGCGTACACACACACACACACACACACACACACACAGCTTTGCACCCCACCCACCCGCCTGCTTTCCCCACTGGCATTTTGTGTCCCCACAATGCAAGGAAACCAGGCATAGAACAATATTCCAGCAAATGGCAGAGAAGAATGGAGGGGTGGGGGGGATGTCGGGGGGGCAGAGACCCCCCCACCCATGGTGCACAGCCAAAGCTTCCTGATCTCTAAGCTCCTTCCGGGTCCTTCTTCCTGAAAGGTCTATAAATAAACCCCTTCCTCTTTGTCACTCTTCTGCCCCCCCCCCGTCCCCTTTCTTCCTGGTGATGCTGAGCATCGCCCGGTCAGTTTCCTTCCTATTTCAATCCCCCCCCCAATGTTATAAAAGACCCCGCTGGAGCCGGCGGGCTTTGAGGCTGGTTCTCAGGCGGCTGCGCTCAAGAAGGGACTGGGGGGGTTCAGCTGGATCTCTGCTCCCCCCCAACTCACAGCCCCCCCCATACCTGCTGGCAGGGTCAGAGGCCCGCCATCCCTGCAGGACAGGGGTGAGTATTGGGGGTCTGGAGAAGAAGGTGCAGCGGGCCAGTTCCCTGTCGGCTTGGTACCCAACCTGGTTTGGTAGCTTAAGCCATGGTCTACCCGTGGGGTGGGGTTGGCTTGTTCCACTGGCTGGGAGGAACCTATGGAGGCTTAAGATCCGTGCGGGCCCAGCTCAAGGGGGATCCAGAGAGTGGCGATCCCCAAAGAACAAACCAACGTGGAACTAAGGAGAAATTTCTAGAACGATTAGCCAGGGGAACTGCTTGACACCAGAAGTTGTGGGTGCTCCATCACTGGAGGTTTTTAAGAGGAGGCTGGACAGCCATTTGTCTGGAATGCTATAGGCCAGGGTCTCCTCCTTGAGCAGGGGGTTGGACTAGAGGATCTTTAGAGTTCCCTTGCAGCCCTCTGATTCTCTCTCATATACACACACACATTCTCCTTCCTTCCTTCCTTTCCTCCCTCTTTCTTTCTTTCTTTCTTTCTTTCTTTCTTTCTTTCTTTCTTTCTTTCTCTGGCCAGGTAGCTCGCTCTATATGACTGTCTGTCTGTCTGTCTGTCTGTCTCTATCTATCTATCTATCTATCTATCTATCTATCTATCTATCTATCTATCTATCTCCCTATGTCTATCTCTATCATCTATCTGTCTGTCTATCTATCTCTATCTCCCTATGTCTATATTATCTGTCTGTCTGTCTATCTATCTATGTCTGTCTGTCTGTCTATCTCTATCTTCCTATGTCTATCTCTATTATCTATCTGTCTGTCTGCCTGTCTGTGAATCTATCTATCTCTGTCTGTCTGTCTGTCTGTCTATCTATCTATCTATCTATCTATCTATCTCTATCTCTATATATCTGTCTGTCTGTCTATGTCTATCTCTATTATCTATCTATTTGTCTGTCTGTCTGTCTGTCTATCTCTATCTATCTATCTATCTATCTGTCTATGTCTACCTCTATTATCTATCTGTCTGTCTATCTATCGATCTATCTGTCTATCTATCATCTATCTATCTATCTCTATCATCTATCTTCTATCATGTATCCATCTATCTATATCATCTATATTCTATCTCTTATCTTCTATCTATCTATCTATCTATCTATCTATCTATCTATCTATCTATCTATCTATCTATCCCTCCCTATCTATCTATCTATCTATCTATCTATCTATCTATCTATCTCATTATCTCATCTATCTATCTATCTGTCTAGCCATCTAATCTTGAGGTTTTTAAGAAAAGAGCGGACAGCCATTTGTCTGAAAGTTTACGGTTAGGGTCTCCTGCTTGAGCAGGGGGTTGGACTAGAAGATCTCCAAGGTCCCCTTCCGGCTCTATTCTGATTGGTGGACTGGATTGATTGACTGGCAGCATTTCTCTCTCTTAGCCCCTTGAAGATGGGCAGGCCCCACTTCCCAGAATTCCCCAGCCAGCAAAGATTTACCGGAATTCAGCACTAATATGACAAGAAGAAACATGGCTAGATTATCTCGTTTTTTGGGGTTCAGCAAAGTGGGAAAAAAAAAAAGCTGTCGGGGGGAATTCTGGGAGTTGACGTCCATCCATCTTCCGGCGAACAAGGTTGCAAACCATGATCTGAGTGTAGTACCCCCTTCTCTCTTCCCGCCCTGCAGGGATCATGGCTGGGCCCAGCCCCACGAGCTACGTGCGCGAATTCACCCGCCACTCCAGCGACGTCCTGACCAACCTGAACGAGCTGCGCAAGCGGCAGATCCTGACGGACGTCACCTTGAGGGTGGGCGGCCACCCCTTGCAAGCCCATAAGGCTGTGCTGACCGCTTGCAGGTGAGGGTCCCCGACAGGTGGGCGGGCACGAGCAAGGTTGGCCTGCGTGTCCGGAGAAGGTGTGGTCTTTAAGAAGATCTTTAAAGAGAGACTGGACTGCCCTTTGTCTGAAATGGAGTCGGGTTTCCTGCCTGAGCAGGGGGCTGGACTAGATGACCTCCGAGGTCCCTTCCAACTTTTATTATCATCATCATCATCATCATTATTATTATTATTCTGAAATGGTGTAGGGTTTCCTGCCTGAGCAGGGGGCTGGACTAGATGACCTCCGAGGTCCCTTCCAACTTTTATTATCATCATCATCATCATCATCATCATCATTATTATTATTCTGAAATGGTGTAGGGTTTCCTGCCTGAGCAGGGGGCTGGACTAGATGACCTCCGATCCTTTCCAACTTTATTATTATTATTATTATCACATCATCATCATCATTATTATTATTATTATTATTATTATTATTATTATTATTATGAAATGATATAGGGTTTTCTGCCTGAGCAGGGGGTTGGACTAGATGACCTCCAAGGTACCTTCCAACATTATTATTATTGTTGTTGTTGTTATTGTTGTTGTTGTTGTTGTTGTTATTATTATTATTATTCTAAAATGGTGTAAGGTTTCCTGCCTGAGCAGGGGGTTGGACTAGATGACCTCCAAAGTCCCTTCCAACTTTATTATTATTATTATTATTATTATGAAATGATATATGGTTTCCTGCCTGAGCAGGGGGTTGGACTAGATGACCTCCAAGGTACCTTCCAAATCTATTATTATTGAAGTCCACCAGTATTTAAGTGGCCGGGGAATTATGGGAGATGAGATCCACCAGTCTTAAAGAGGCTGGGGAATTATGGGACTTGAAGTCCACCAGTCTTAAACTGGCTGGGGAATTCTGGGAGTTGAAGTCCCCCAGTCTTAAAGCACTGCAAGTAACAAAACAGGTCCGGGGACTGAGCTTGTGTAGTAGGCAATTCTAGCAACAGGAAAGGTCCCACCCCAAGCAAGGGTGAGGTCGCTGGGCTTTGTAGTCCGCCCTCTTTGAACCGCCCAGCCCTCAGAGATGGGCACAGCCGGATGGTCTCTGTCTTGACTCCTTCTCTTGTCCTCTCTTTCCGACAGTGGCTTTTTTTATTCCGTCTTCCTGGGCCACGGGGGCCACGAAGTCAGTGTCCTGACCTTGCCCAGCTCCATTGAGCCGGTGGGCTTCCAGACCCTCCTGGATTTTATGTACACCTCCCGCCTTCTGCTCAGCCCGGCCACGGCCCCCGCGGTGCTGGTAGCCGCCTCCTATTTGCAGATGGAACATGTAGTCCAGAGCTGTCACCGCTTCCTCCAAGCCAGGTACGGGGGGGGGGGGGGGGGGAGGGGCGGGGATTGTGTGGGAGGGGGGGCTGCCAGGGAGGTCAAGAAGGAGCAGGGGAGGAAGGTGCTTCTCTTATACTGGGGGAGGGGAGGAAAACCAGGAAGAGAACACTGGAGGTTTTGAAGAAGACACTGGGCAGCCCTTTGTCTGAAATGGTATTATAGGGTTTCCTGCCTGAGCAGGGGGTTGGACTAGATGACCTCCAAGGTCCCTTCCAAGTCGGTTATTCTGTTATTCTTTTCCTTCCTTCCATCCTTCCTTCCTCCCTCCATCCCTCCCTTCTCCAACACTGGAAGTTTTTAAGAAGAGACTGGACAGGCATTTGTCTGAAATGGTATAGGGTTTCCTGCCTGAGCAGGAGGTTGGACTAGATGACCTCCAAGGTCCCTTCCGAGTCGGTTATTCTGTTATTCTTTTCCTTCCTTCCATCCTTCCTTCCTCCCTCCCTCCCTCCTTCCTTCCCTCCCTCCCTTCTCCAACGCTGGACAGGGTACAGACTTCCTGCCTGAGAGGGGGTTGGACTAGATGACCTCCAAGGTCCCTTCCAACTTATGATGATGATGATGATGATGATTAGTCTGAAATGGTGTAGGGTTTCCTGTCTGAGCAGGGGGTTGGACTAGATAACCTCCAAGGTCCCTTCCAACTTATGATGATGATGATGATGATGATGATTAGTCTGAAATGGTGTAGGGTTTCCTGTCTGAGCAGGGGGTTGGACTAGATGACCTCCAAGGTCCCTTCCAACTTATGATGATGATGATGATGATGATTAGTCTGAAATGGTGTAGGGTTTCCTGCCTGAGCAGGGGGTTGGACTAAATGACCTCCAAGGTCCTTTCCAACTTATGATGATGATGATGATGATGATTAGTCTGAAATGGTGTAGGGTTTCCTGCCTGAGCAGGGGGTTGGACTAGATGACCTCCAAGGTCCTTCCAACTTTATTATTATTATTATTATTATTATTATTATTATTATTATTATTATTATTATCTCTGAGCCCCTCCCCCCGACTCTTCCCCGTGTGATCCCTGCAGGTACGACCGGGTGACCTTTCTCCTCCCCCCTCTGGACCGCCAAAGGTGCCGGCCACTGGAAGACGACCCCCCACCGCAACGGGGCTCCATCGCACCCCACTTTACCCGAGGAGCCACCACCGAAAGGGCCCCGCAGCCAGCATCCTTCCGCCCCACCGAGGAGGAATCGGGATCCGTCGGGTCACCAGGCGCCGGGGATCTGTTCCCGGCGGGCCACCCGGCCTCCCCGGCCGAGTCGAGCAGCTGCACCCCGATTCCGGACCCCAAAGCTTGCAACTGGAAGAAGTACCGCTTCATCGTCCTCAGTTCCTTGTTGCGCCAGCAGGGGGCCAGCGTGTCTGGCCAGGCGGGCCCGTCCCCCAGGTCAGAGTGCCCGACCTCGCGGCGAGAGGGCCTCTGAGCACGTACACAGGGCTTCCCCCAATTCTGCACTCCTGCATTGGGTCACAGCTGCCACCTCCCGCTGGAGGATTCTGGGAAATGTGGTTCCCCAGCTTCTGGGCCCGGCCAGATCGGAGCGGGCGAGTTGTGCTGGAAGGGTAGCCCCCTGTGCATGTGCAGAGCGCCACTTCTTTCTTTCCCCCGTTCTGGGTCCTCTTTTGCACCGCCTCCCCCAGGCTTTGGATACTTGGGGGCCCAGAGAGGCCCAATCAAAGGGTCCAGGCTTGGCTGACCCCCCCCCCTCCTTTCCCCCCCTCCCAGGAGGCCCCCTGCAGACCCCCCGTGCTCCATCTGCAACCTGGCGCCCCCCTCGCGCTCTCCGCAGCCCCCCAAGGAGCTTCCCACGCCAAGGGGAGACGGCCCTGGTGAGTCGGCAGAAAGGGGAAAAGTGAGTGACCCCCACCGCCATTTTAAATCACGTGACGGCTGCGGTCGCAAGTGTGAGGATGGTCGTAAGTCACTCCGTGCCGTTGCAACTCGGACCGGTTGTTAGATAAAGGGTTGTCAGTTGAGAACTAACGGCCTCTGTGCCTGGCCACAGCCAGCCTGTAACAGAAGTAAGGGTTTGGGAGGCATGCGCAGAGTGCGTGTGTCTCCGCCCCCAAGGTGTTTGGCCGCTGTCCAAAATCTTTCAACTACCCAGAAAAAGATGAAGGGAGGGAGGTAGAAAGATAGATAGATAGATTAGAGAGAGAGAGAGAGAGGTAGAGAAAGAGGTAGAGAGATAGATAGGTAAAGAGAGATGATGGATGGATGGATGGATAGGTAGGTAGGTAGGTAGGTAGGTAGGTAGGTAGATAGATAGATAGATAGATAGATAGATAGATAGATAGATAGATAGATAGATAGATAGATAGGCAGGCAGGCAGGTAGGTAGGTAGGTAGGTAGAAAGATAGGTAGGTAGGTAGGTAGATAGATAGATAGATAGATAGATAGATAGATAGATAGATAGATAGATAGATAGATAGATAGATAGATAGATAGATAGATACATAAAATGGGTGGAAGATGGATGAATGGATAGATACGGACAGACATACAGATATAATATATAGAGCAGTGGTTCTCAACCTTTTTAATGCCGCGACCCCCAACCGGTCATAAGTCGAGGACTACTCAACCGGTCGTAAGTCGAGGACTACTCAACTGGTGCAGCACCGTTTGCAGACTAGGACTTTTGGCGGGCTCAGCAGGGCAGAGATAGCCTGGACAATTCCTATTGGCTTTTGAAAGCCAATAGAATTAGACTCTATTCAAGAGAGTCTGTTCTATTGGCTTTCAAAAGCCAATAGAATAAAAGGGAGGAGCACAGCTAAGGAAAAAGGGGGAAAAATGGCGGACTGCGTTGTTTGGCGACACCCCTGAAATGGTCGTTCGACCCCAAATGGGGTCCCGACCCACAGGTGGAGAACCACTGATATAGAGAGAGATATATGGATGAAGAGAGATAGATAGATAGATGATAGATACGTAGATAGATAGATAGATAGATAGATAGATAGATAGATAGATAGATATAGAAAGAGAGATACATAGGTAGAGAGAGATGATGGATAGATAGATAAATAGGTAGGTAGGTAGATAGATAGATACATACATACATACATACGTACATAAAATGGGTGGAAGATGGATGAATGGATAGATACAGACAGACAGACAGATATAATATATATAGAGAGATACATAGATGAAGAGAGAGAGAGAGATACATACATACATAACATACATACATACTTACATAAAATGGGTGGAAGATGGATGGAGAGAGAGAGAGAGAGAGAGAGAGAGAGAGAGAGAGACAGAGAGAGCTAGCAAAGTCCATTTCTTTCCTTGTTCCCAGGCTGTGGATCCTCCAGCTGCCAGGCCTGTGACCTGCAATACCTCCAGGAAGAGGCGGAAGAGGAAGGGGGCAGCCCAGCCCCGGGTGCCCAGGAGAAGCCCTACAAGTGCCACTGCTGCAGTTCCACTTTCCGTGGCAAGGGGAGCCTGGCCAGCCATCGGTCCTTGCATGCAGGTGGGCAGGGATCCTCCTAAGCCGGGCGGACTTCAATTCCCAGAATTCCCCCGCCAGCAGAGAGTTGAAGTCCAGCGATCTACAACCCACCCGAGGAACAGAGCAAAGGACCAATCGTCCGGTTCGATGCTCCGAAACCCTCCCCCCTTCTGTCTTCCGGCCAACAGGAGAGAAGCCCTACCATTGCGGCGTCTGCGGGGCCCAGTTTAACCGGCCGGCTAACCTCAAGACGCACTTGCGCATTCACTCCGGAGAGAAACCCTACAAGTGTGAGATGTGCGGGTCTTGTTTTGTGCAGGTAAGGAGACGCCAGGGAATGCCCTGGGGGTCACACCCGATAAGTGGGTCAAAAAAGTCAAAATGGCGGCCACCACCATCAACCTGAGCAGCGGGTTGGACTGCAAGACCTCCAAGGTCCCTTCCAACACTATTATTATTATTATTGTTGTTGTCGTTGTTGTCGTTGTCGTTGTTGTTGTTGTCGTTGTCGTTGTTTTGTTATTACTACTACCACTATTATTACTATTATTACTATTACTATTATTAATATTATTATTATTACTACCCATGATTTGGAGGTGTTTTTTCTCTCTCTCGAGATGTACCCACTCATGTCAGTAATTTATAATAATAATAATAATAATAATAATAATCAGACAGTAAGTGCCGCCTATGCAAAGAAGCTGAAGAAACAGTGGACCACCTGGTAAGCTGTTGCAATAAGATTGCACAGGCTGACTACAAGCAGCGGCATGACAAAGTAGCAACAATGGTGCATTGGAAGATCTGCAAAAAATATCACTTGCCTGTAAGCAAAAACTGGTGGGATCATAAAATAGAGAAAGTCATACAAAATGATAAAGTTAAACTGCTCTGGGACTTCAGAATTCAAACAGACAAGCACCTGCAACATAACACCCCAGACTTGACAATTGTCGATAAGAAAGACAAAAAAGTCTGGATAGTGGACGTGGCAGTGCCTGGAGACAGCAGAATAGATGAGAAAGAACTGGAGACGATCACAAAATACAAAGACCTACAAATAGAAATAGAAAGACTGTGGCAAAAGCAAGCAAGGGTAGTACCAATAGTCATAGGCGCCTTGGGTGCAATCCCAAAACAACTGGAGCACCACTTGAACACCATTGGCATTGACAAATTCGCTATTAGTCAATTTCAAAAGGCGGCCTTATTAGGAACTGCTTCCATCCTGCGACGATATCTGTAATACCATCAAACATCCACATCTGCCTATCCCAGGTCCTGGGTAAGGACTCGATAGGTAGACAAAATGCCAAATCCAGTCTGAACATCTGGCTGACTGTGCGATGATCCATAATAATAATAAAGTTGGAAGGGACCTTGGAGGTCATCTAGTCCAACCCCCTGCTCAGGATTGCTCAGCAAGTTGAAAGAATTTATTTGATTTAAAAATTTGAAATGAAACCAAATAATCTAGACCAAAACACTAGCGGAGACCGCTCTGTGGGTCAAAGACAAGCGTCCCCCCCCCCCCGTCTCCCATGTAGCCAGCATCCTGCTTTTCCGGGTGGGGGTCCACCTGTCTGCCGTGGGCTCTTGGGAGGTAGACTGCCTCTGACTGGGGAGGCTCGACGGGATGAAACGATCACCTATATTACCAGCGTCGCCCCCGGGGGTACAGATGGAACCCGTGGAAGGGTGTAGGGTGGGCTCAAACCCACTGCCCCCCCCCCAAAAAAGAGGTGGCTTCACTGGATGTTCCCCCCCTCCCCTCGCAGGTGGCACATCTCCGGGCCCACGTCTTGATCCACACAGGAGAAAAGCCCTACCCGTGTGGCACCTGCGGGACTCGATTCCGGCACCTGCAGACCCTCAAAAGCCACCTCCGCATCCACACCGGGGAGAAACCTTACCAGGTGAGGGTCTTTCCCCCGGGGGGGGGGCAGCTGCCCCATTGAGAACTTGGGGGGAGGGGGGTAAACAGGTCTTCTGGAAGAGCCCGGAGGGGAACCGGGGCAAGGCCAGGGCATCTGGATTCTCGGTGGGGTTGAAGGGAGGGCGGGCTCTTCTAAGGGGGCGGGGCTTAAAGGGAACTGTACGGAGGGGGAGAGTCAATGGGGGAGGGGAGGGAGGGAGCTCGTAGTTTGAATTTGAGGGTTTTGTGGGGGGGGGGGTGTCTTGCAGTTTGGCTTGCTTCTGGGAGACGTCTCGAGGCCAGACTGGGTAACATCGTCAGGGCTGTGAGATGAGGGAGTGACGGTCGAGTGTTGTTTTAGAGCAGTGTTTCTCAACCAGGGCCATTTAAGGGGTGGGCTTCAATTCCCAGAGTTCCCCAGTCCTCCTCCTCCTCCTCCCCCACCACTCTCCACAACCCACCCTCCCTTCTAGCGCTGATGACGTTCCCTAGTTGGGTCATGAAACGTCTGCAAGGAAACCACCCAGCTCAGAGAGCACCATGGGCCCCACAGTCCTCCTCCTCCTCCTCCTCTAGGAATACCCCACTCCCTTCTATCACTGATGCTATTGCCTAGATGGTTCAGGAAACGTCTGCAAGGAAACCCAGCTCAGAGAGCACCAAGGACCCCGGGGTTGTCCTCCTCCTCTTCCTCCTCCTCTTCCTCCTCCCCTTCTTCTTCTCCTCCTCCTCCACCTCCACCACCTCCTGTACCTCCTCCTTCTCTCCTCCTCCTCCTCTTCTCCTCCTTCTCTTCCTCCTCTTGTTCTTCTTCCTCCACCTCCTTCTCCTCCTCCACCTCCTCTCCTCCTCCTCCTCCTCCTCCTCTTCTTCTTCTCCTCCTCCTCCACCTCTCCTCCTCCTCCTCCTCCCCCCCCTCCTCCTCCTTTTCCTCCTTCTCCTTCTCCTTCTTCTTCCTCTTCTCCTCCTCCTCCTCCTCCTCCTCCTTCTCCTCCTCCTCCTCCTTCTCTTCTTCCTGTTCTTCCTCCTCCTCCTCCTTTTCTTCCTCCCCCCTCCTAGCACTGATGACATTCCCCAGCTGGGTCACAAAACGTCTGCCAGCAGAGAGCCCCAGGCCCAGAGACTCCCCCCCCCCCCCGGAGCCCATCAGACCTGCTCCACGTCGCCCCTCCTCGCTAACCGCGGCCTCCTTCCTTCTCCGCAGTGCGAGACATGCAGCCTGCGCTTCCGCCACAAGAGCCAGCTGCGCCTGCACCTGCGCCAGAAACACGGCGCCATCACCAACACCAAGATCCGCTACCAGGTGCTGGACGGCCCCTACGCCAGCGCCTGCTGAGGCCGGCAGTCCGCTATGTCCCGAACTACGACGGCCAAAAGGATCTGACGCTCCGCGGAGAAGTTGCTCTGTGAAACATCCCCCCCCCCAACTCACCTTTTCAATCTTCAATTTTCGGGCACCGAAAAAAGGGGACTTACGACCCCGTTTCGCACTTACGACCATTGCAAGCGTCCTTGCGGTCACGGGATCAATGTTAAGGCGATTAGCAACCGGCTCGTATTTATGACGGTGGCAGGTTCTCCTGGTGGAGTGGGAGGGTCACGTGACCCCCTTCTGCGGCCTCCCGGCGAGCAAAGTCAGTAGAGGGATCTGGATCCACTTAGTGACCGTAGGGCTCACCTAATCGCCGAAGCGGATTGCTCAACCGTCACAATGAAAAAGGTCACAAAATCGGGTGTGATCCGCTTAGCGACCGCCACAATTGCCCCCCCCAAAAAAGATCACAAAATCAGGTGTGACTCGTACGGTGATGGGAAATCTGGTCCCAATTGGCGTCGTAAGTCGAGGACTACCAGCAAGTGGGGAAGGAGAGGGGAGGGGTCGAAAAGACCCCTGTTGCCGTTACCCAGGCCTCCCCCCCCATTTAGCACCTTCCCTTAATCTTATTCTTTCCAGCTGGGACTACAATTCCCATCATCCCATTGCTGGTTGGGGGATGATGGGAATCGCACCCTTGGGGGGGGGAGGCCGACCAAGAATTACCTCCTCACCCCTCCCACCATCCTTCCTTCCACCTTTGGAAAATAGGGGCGGGGGCTTTGAATGGTGCCCAATCCTGCAGGGAGAGCTAAAATCTCAGATTTATATAATATATGTGCAGCTTTTTATGGGTTGGGTTTCAGGAATTTGTGGAGTGTGTGTGTGTGTGTCTGTTTGCAGCAAGGTTTGCTTGTTTAAAAGACCTACTGAGCTCTTTTTTTGGCAGATTTGAGGTGGGGGCAGCCTTTCAGAAACAGACAACAGGGCGGGGTTGGACTAGATGACCTTCAAGGTCCCTTCCAGCTCTATTCCGATTGATGGATTGATGGATTGAAATGGTATAGGCTCTCCTGATTGAGCAGGGGGTTGGACTAGATGACCTCCAAGGTCCCTTCCAGCTCTATTCAGATTGATCGATCGATCGATCGATCGATTGATTGATGGATTGAAATGGTATAGGCTCTCCTGCTTGAGCAGGGGGTTGGACTAGATGACCTCCAAGGTCCCTTCCAGCTCTATTCAGATTGATCGATTGATTGATTGAAATGGTATAGGCTCTCCTGCTTGAGCAGGGGGTTGGACTAGATGACCTCCAAGGTCCCTTCCAGCTCTATTCAGATTGATCGATCGATCGATCGATTGATCGATTGATTGATTGAAATGGTATGGGCTCTCCTGCTTGAGCAGGGGGTTGGACTAGATGACCTCCAAGGTCCCTTCCAGCTCTATTCCGATTGATGGATGGAAGGATGGATGGACTGAATAACCTGCAGTTATCTAGATACTCCTCGACGTACAGCCGTTCATTTAGCGACCGTTCAAAGTTGCAATAGCTGTGGAAAAAAACGAACCGGTCCTCACACGTACGACCGTTGCAAGCATCCCTTGCTCTTGCTCGGTCAAAATTCAGACCCTTGGGCAAGCAGCATCCTGGGATCAAACGGGCTCCTGTTTGCGGCCTTCCCAGCCGGCTTGCGACCAGCAAAGACAACGGAGGAAGCTGGATCCGCTTAACGACCAGGCGATTCCCTTGAAAAACTCAAGTGATTCGTTTAACGGCCAAAACAAAAAAAGGTCGTAAAATCGGGCACGACAAACCCCCCCCTTAATAACCCCCTTGCTTAGCCAGAGAAATTCTACTCACTCTCTCTCTCTCTCTCTCTCTCTCTCTCTCTTACATCGTATGTCGAGGACTACCTATAGAATGGGAAATTGTTGGGGGGGGGGCTCTGATTTTATTATTATTATTATTATTATTTTGCAAAAATGGGATTTTTGGCAAAACACCCCCAGGTTGCAGGCCAACCTTTTATTAACGGGCCGGTTGATAGACAGGAGGATTTGAATGTCAGAAAAGTGAAGCCCCCCCTCCCACAAAAGGCTGTGTCCTTATTTGACTGGTGGGGAGGGGGAGAGGCCCATGAAGAAAGACCTCCCCCCAAATTATTCAATTTGAAAAGGCTGGATCCCATCACCTCGGCTCGCCTTAATAAAGCCAACTTTGCTTTGAAGAGATGTCTGTGCTTTTCCTGACTTAGGAAAATTCAGACTTTGCACACATTTTGGGGACCCACCCCCCAACCCCAATAGCAAGGAGGTTAGCCATAAAGTTGGGAGGGTCGTTCCTTCAAAGCAGGGGAGCTTTGCCCCCCCAAAAAGGATCCGAGCCGGAAAGGTAGATTTATATCTCTTTATTTAGGCATAATTAAAAAGCCCCCCCACCCAGCTACAAGGTGAAGACCCCCTTAAGATATAAATCACTTTATATGTATAGGCCTTTGGTTATTCGGGTTTTCTCCCGCATCAAATTGGAAATGTCTTGGCGACGTTTCGACAAAGTCTCATTCGTCATCTTCAGGCTGGTGTTTTCGGCTTCGTGCTTCAAGGAGCAATCTAGAAGCACGAAGCTCCTAACACAAAGCTCCTAGAAGCACGAAGCCGAAAACACCAGCCTGAAGATGATGAATGAGACTTCGTCGAAACGTCGCCAAGACACTTCCAATTTGACATGGGAGAAAACCCGAATAACCAAAGACCTACATACAAACACCCGTGAAAACCTCAGAAAACATATATATATAGATAGATCTTTGGTTATTCAGGTTTTCTCCCGTGTCAAATTGGAAGTGTCTTGGCGACGTTTCAACAAAGTCTCATTCGTCATCTTCAGGCTGGTGTGTTTTCGGCTTCGTGCTTCTAGGACAGTGGTTCTCAACCTGTGGGTCGGGACCCCATTTGGGGTCGAACGACCATTTCATGGGGGTCGCCAAACAAGGCTGTCCGCCACTTTTTTGCCCTCTTTTTGGCCATGCCCCTGGCACCCGGTGATGTATAAGTGGTTGGGGGTCACCACAACATGGGGTACTGTATTATGGGGTCGCGGCATTAGAAAGGTTGAGAACCACTGTTCTAGGAGCAATCTAGAAGCACGAAGCTCCTAACACAAAGCTCCTAGAAGCACGAAGCCGAAAACACCAGCCTGAAGATGATGAATGAGACTTCGTCGAAACGTCGCCAAGACGCTTCCAATTTTATGCAGGAGAAAACCCGAATAATCAAAGACATACATACATACATATATGCGCACACACACACACACACACACACACACACACACACACACACACTTATTGTATATATAATTTATCTGTACGGTTCAAGCATGCATGGATGTTTACAGCCACTCGTTTAGTGATGGGTCAAAGTTACAACAGCATGGTTGGCTGGGGAATTCTGGGAGTTGAAGTCCACCCCTCTTAAAGCATGCCTGGCTGGGGGATTCTGGGAGTTGAAGTCCACCCCTCTTCAAGTGTGCATTTTTGAGACACCCCTGCCCCAGCATCCAAGCTTCGTGCCTGCCCCCCCCCTCTTCCCACCCAGGGCCTGTGAAGTTGTGTCACCACCGCAGGGCACACCCAGGGCCAGCTGTTCCCCAGAAGCGGAGAAACTTCCGGGCATTCTCTTCGGAAGCAAGGATGCCGGGCCCACCCCGGTCGGCCTTCCTACCTAGCTCGGGTCCCTCGGACAGCTGCATCCTGCAACACACCCGTCCCGGTCCCCTCCCAGCCCCCCCCCATGCCAGCGTGACCTGAAAAGTCCCTTCCCTTCTCCTGCGCAGGACCCCCTCCTCAAATCTCCAGCACGGCCGAAAGACCCTTTTTGCTTTGCAAAATGAAGGGGAGGGGTCTATGTAAAATATCTGGACAGACTCGAACCCAGGGCCCTATCTAACAAAATGAAATTCAGTGGTGAAAAAAGCAAGGTTCTACATTTAGGCAAGAAAAGCCAAATGCACAGGGATAGTATAGGGGGTATCTTGCTCAATAGCAGCAACTGTGAGAGGGAGCTCAGAGTCCTAGTGCAGTGTTTCCCAAACTTGACAATTTTAAGGCATGAGGACTTCAACTCCCAGAATTCCACAGCCAGTGTTGCTGGCTGTGGAATTCTGGGAGTTGAAGTCCTCATGCCTTAAAATTGTCAAGTTTGGGAAACACTGTCCTAGTGGAAAAAATCATTTAAATAGGAGCCAGCCGTGTGCTGCAGCTGCCAAAAAAGGCCAACACAGTGCTGGGCTGCATTAACAGAGGGATAGAATCAAGCCCACGTGAAGGGTTAATACCACTTTACAAGGCCTTGGTAAGGCCACACTTGGAATACGGCATCCAGTTTTGGTCACTACGATGTAAAAAAGATGTTGAGACTCTGGAAAGAGTGCAGAGAAGAGCAACAAAGGTGATTAGGGGACTGGAGGCTAAAACATACAAGGAACGGCTGGTGGAATTGGGGATGTCTAGTAGTTTAATGAAGAGAAGGACGAGGGGGGGGCATGATAGCCATGTTCCAGTATCTCAGGGGCTGCCCCAAAGAAGAGGGAGTCAAGCTATTCTCCAAAGCGCCTGAAGGCAGGACAAGAAGCGACGGAGGGAAACTCATCAAGGAGAGAAGCAACTTAGAACTAAGGAGAGGGAAATTTCCTGACAGTGAGAACAATTAACCAGTGGAACCACCTGTTAAGGCGAGGATTATCTGGAAGGTGACTAAATCTTCTATTTTGACTTTTCTGATCCTCCAACCTACAGATCCCTCCTAACATGGGGGATCCCTCCCCCATGCAGAGCGGGCCTGGGGTCTTCCAAATGACCGGGATGGCTTCCCCATCATCCTTCACCTCACCAGTCTAGATAGAGATGGGAGTTGTAGTCCTATAGGGAGAGAAAAGGGGAAAAAAAAAAAACACGATTAAAATTGGTCTCCCAGCAGCGGGAAGCTGCTTCGGCCACGGCGCGCCATCTGGTGGCCAAGACGAGGCATGACGTTTTGAATCCTGTTTTGGCTAGTCCTCTACTATTAACAACAACAACAACAACAATAACAAAGTTGGAAGGGACCTTGGAGGTCATCTAGTCCCTAGAAGACCTGCACAGTCCCTTCCAGCTCTATTTTTGTTGTTATTATTATTGTTGTTGTTATTGTTAAGGAACTGCTTCAAAAGTTCCTGGGTGCGTCTAGCGATGTGAGGGCAAGCATTATCGTGAACCAACACCACACCGGAAGCCGTGCCTTAGAAAATCCCACCAAGTATGAAGATGGCGAAGGAGTAACTGCTTCTGAAGTTCATGGAGGGTGGTTCGGCCATCAATTCAGATGTCAACTGCCAAACATTATACAAACTCAGACAAGCCACCCATAACAAGTGTTATGGGGCCTGCTGACTTCCGTTGTGGTGTTCTTCACGATAACGCTGGGCTGCACACCACTAGGCGCACCCAAGAACGTTTGAAGTTCTGTGTCTGCAAATGTCTGTCCTTGATAACCAAACGGAGGTTTATTTCTGAACTGTCCCCATAGGTTTCAACAGGGACTGGAGGCTAAAACATACAAGGAACGGTTGCTGGAATTGGGTATATGTCTAGTTTAATGAAGAGAAGGACGAGGGGGGATAGGATAGCAGAGTTCCAGTATCTCAGGGGCTGCCCCAAAGAAGAGGGAGTCAAGCTATTCTCCAAAGCGCCTGAAGGCAGGATAAGAAGCGATGGATGGAGAAACTAATCAAGGAGAGAAGCAACCTAGAACTAAGGAGAAACTTCCTGACAGTTAGAACACTTAACCAGTGGAACAACCTGCCTCCAGAAGCGGTGGATGCTCCAACCCTGGAAGTTTTTAAGAAGAGACTGGACAGCCCTTTGTCTGAAAGGGTATAGGGTTTCCTGCCTGAGCAGGGGGTTGGACTAGATGACCTCCAAGGTCCCTTCCAACTTTATTTTTAATGTTATTATTACTACTATTATTATTATTATTATTATTATTCATCGCACCGTCAGCCAGATGTTCAGACTGGATTTGACATCATCATCATCATTGTTGTTGTTATTATTCATCGCACAGTCAGCCA